TTAGTCTGCAGTGTTTGGGAGGTATAGACTCATCCTTGCTGCTTAGTGTATGAATTTCTGGGAGATGACTGGTACCCCAAGGAGAAAGACTCAGAATTACGTGTAAAAATTGTCTCGTGAGTATTTGCCAGAACAGAACAATAAACTGCATTTTGTGTCAGGCCCTGCTGTGGTTTACCCTCTGAACTCATCTTACAAAGCCAAAGGATTTGCCTTTGTCCTTTCTGTGAATCTGCTCCTGCTGCACAGTGTTCAGGGGAATCAGAGATGGATCTGACCATGAACAGTGCAGCCTCTTGCACACAGTTTTCATGGACTCACAGAACATTATGGGCTGGAAGGGATCTCAAAGCTCATCTCAATTCAACCCCCTGTCATGGGCAGAGACACCTTCCACCAGCCCAGGTTGCTCCAAGCCCTGTCCAACCTGGCCTTGGACACTTTCAGGGATGGGGCAGCCACAGCTTCTCTGGGCAACCTGTGCCAGGGCCTCACCACCCTTATAGTAAAGAATTTCTTCCTAATATCTAAACTAAACCTACTCTCCTTCAGTTTTTCTCCATAGCAATCCTTTAAAGCTCCAAAGCCTTGGAAAGCAGCTGGCTGCTCCACCTGAAGGCGATTACAGAGAAGAAATTCTACTGGACCAACAAGATTTCTTTCATTATCCTAATGATTTCTATCACAGCTGGATTTTTCTCTGTGGGATGCTTAGATCTATGAGATAAACTTCTTAGAAATTATTTAGACAAACAAATGAATTAAACAGAATTCAAAGTGACAGTTCCCAACACTTGGGCATCCGCCAAGGAACTTTCAAAAGCCAAAATAATAACTCAGATCTGAGAGATCCTGCAAAGCTTATAAATTAAGTAATCCTTTGGAAACCTGCAGCTAAAGCTGCCATAGGGTTGAGATTTGCTTGGACTTAATCCAAATAATGAGCTTCAAATTTAACTGTTTTCACAGGATGTTGGGGTTTTGGATATTTTTTATCTTTTAACTATTAAGTAAAGGTACAAACAGGAACTGTTAAGAATCTGTTGTACATGAATCCCATCAGGATAGGAAGGCACCAGAAAGGACAATGGAAATGGAAATGAACATGAAAAAGTCTAGGATTACTGATTAATGTAAGAAAGGAAAAGTACTCTGAGAGGACAAACTGCACAAATGCCATGAAGCATTGCTTGGAGTCTTTACTGCCACAAGGATTTTGCATTCGTGTGATCAGCATCACTTCCAGGGGCCGTTTGCAATCACAAATATGAAGAGGAGCAACCAGCATTAGAACCTGCAAATGAGCATTCACAACAAAGGATTTTCAAACACAAACCATGAGCCACCGAATCTGACACACAATTTTAACAGGAGTGTGGCTGTTGGGAAGGCCAGGACACAGCCTAGCAGTTGCTAGATTGATGCTTAAAGCTGCTTTTAAATCATAGAACCACAGGATGGTTTGGGTTGGAAGGGACCTTAAAGAACATCCAGTCCCACCCCCTGCCATGGGCAGGGACACCTTCCACTATCCCAGGTTGCTCCACGCCCTGTCCAACCTGGCCTTGGACACTTCCAGGGATGGATGACTTCAGCCTCCTGAAATGGTTTGTTTCTAAGCAGAAACAGCCACATCCAGAAAAAGACAATTTGTAGAGCAAGAAAATCTCCTGACCTGGAGAAGAACTATCAAGCCACAATGACGCTTTAAAACACTCTCATGTGGACAGATGTTCAAAAATAGCATTGGAGGGTCATTATCGGGACTCCCAGATAAGCACAGACCTCTGCTAGACATTGGGAGGGGGGCAGATGGAAAACCTGAATGCTCACTCAAAATGGGACACAAAGCTGAATATCTGTAGTTTACCCAGTCGGTCTCTGATAACAAAGGAAGGAAACTCAGAGTGTCACCGGTGGCAAAGGAGAGCCAGGATGGAATATTGAAAAAAGAAACAAAGGGGTGATAAGGCTTTGGGGTGGAAAAATACTGGAAACAAACATCAAGGAAAATATCGGGGAGGGGAAAGATAAAGTGAATGGAGTGATGAGATTGAATTCATGAACATGTTTGACCTCTCTTTGAATAATGTGTGGTCTCTGTTAGAGCTTGCTGCAGGGTTTCAGCACTCGGATGAAGAATGAGCACGTGATACTGTATTTCAGCTCCCCCAGCAAGGTTCAGTTCATCTGCTGTTGGTCCTGTTGATTTCTCAGCCAGAAGTAGAAATCCAATTAGTTTAGAATTTAAAAATTCTCACTGAGTAACCTGGTCTAGTGGAGGGTGTCCCTGGCCGTGGCAGGCAGTTGGAATGGCTTGATCTTTGAGATCCCTCCCAACTCAAGTCATTCTGTGATTCTATGATTCAAAGACAAAACCAGAAATTTCTGAGCCCACTTTGGTTGGTTGAAGTGGGAGTTGACTGGTTCCTCTGCAGGCTGCAGACTTGTGTTGGCTTTAGTGTGAAAAGGTCTGTGAGAAGCTGAGAGAACATGAGGAATCTGTGAACTGTGGGGCTCTTTGGATAATGTTCTCATTCCCTGCATCCTGGGAAAGAACATCTAGGGCAGAGGGGTGCAACATTAATTCCTGACACAGTTCTGAAACCTGAGGGCTGCTCTGACACTTTCCATCAGTAGCAATTCAACTGCAGACAGTTTTATTCAGAGTAAAACTGCCTCCACTTCACTCAGTGTAATGCATTTTGGAATATAGTCTCATTTGGAATAAGCACACCTACCAATTTTTACCAATTTGGCTAATTGTGTTTTACTTGGGTTAAGTTTTTGATGAGCTGTCAGTTCCATGAGGGGTGATCTGGGCTGAGCATTCAAAAAGCCTTGAAGAGAAAGTGCCTCGGAGCCAGCAGTTTCCTGTCTGCTTTTGAAAGGAATACTTTAATAGAGGGCATTTCTGTGTTTTGATCATCTGTTGCCTCTGCCAGTGAATTACTTTGATCCCCTGATGCTTTGCTGCCCAGCAGAGCTGCCCCTCACAGCACGGTGTAGCTCTCAACCCACCTGGGGAACGGGCCCCCACTGAATGCCAGTGGGAAATGTTTGACTCCACAGAACTGCAGGTTTCATTTTTTATCTTCTTTTTTTTCCCATATCTCTGGGTTTATTCTTCCTATTTTCCAGCAAGCTTAGTGTCTTTCACAGAAAGGATTTTTTCTTTTCCCTCCTGAGAGGAAGGAGACGCCAGTGCTGACACACCGTGTTTGTGCACATCTGTAGCTCGGTCCTTGAGGGAATTCTCTTTGTCACCAAACAGTGAGAGCAGGAGAAGTGGGACAGCAACCAGTCCTCCAGCTCTCTGTGAGAGGAATTTCGCTGTTTGGCTGGGCGGATTTTCTAACACAAGCAAGGAAACCTCAGACCAGCCTACTCCCAGGCTGCTGCAGGCTGGGTGATATCACGCAGGAATGAGGAGGTATGATTCATCACCCAGACAAAAGTCAGCCTGTGCAGCCTCTCTTGGTGGAGGCACATGCCTGTGAGGAACAAAGAGTAGTGGAAAGCTCTGCTGGTACCAGCTGCAGCTGGACTCTCCTCTGCACGCACCTTCCTCGCAAAGCAAACAAAGTACGTTGTGTTTCAGGTTTGTAACACAGCGCTGGATTCATGTTGCTAAATCCCAAAGCTGCAGGAGGGCTCAGGAGCATGTTTAAAAGTTACAGCTCCCCTCTCGTCCCAGAGCAAAGCCCAGTAACACGGGCACAGCGGTGAGACCGTCACACAAACCTTCCCGGGTCACGAGCAAAGAGACTCTGCAGCAAATGGCACATAAATCAAACTCACAGAAACCGGGCAGCGAGAAGGTGCTCGATGAAACTGGACTTTCCAAACAATGAACCCTTTGTTAGGTCCCTTTTTTGAAGTGGGATATTCCGGTCCAGCCCTTTTCAGGAAGAGAGGGAGATTTTACAGGCATTTTGAGATTTCTTCTCAGCTTCTGGGGGATGTGCTGAGCAGCTGTGCTGGCCACCCACCCCACCTCTGTGCCTGCAAGCCATCCCTTTATACACCCTCTGGCAGCGTGGACATCTCCGTGGTGCTCCAGCAGTCACAGGGATGCTCTGCTGTGCTGGGTGCTGCCCAGAGACCCCTGCAAGGACACAGGGATGTTGGGCTGCAATGGCCATGAAATGCTCTGAGGGCTGGAGCACCTTTGCTATGACAGACTGAGAGAGCTGGAGCTGTTCAGCCTGCAGAAGAGAAGGCTCCAGGGAGACCTTAGAGCCCCTTCCAGTGCCAAATGGGCTCCAAGAGAGCTGGAGAGGGACTGGGGACAAGGGCCTGGAGAGATAGTACAAGGGGGAATGGCTTCCCACTGCCAGAGGGCAGGGTTAGATGGGATATTGGGAAGGAATCCTTCCCTGTGAGGGTGGGGAGGCCCTGGCACAGGTTGCCCAGAGAAGCTGTGGCTGCCCCATCCCTGGAAGTGTCCAAGGCCAGGTTGGACGGGGCTTGGAGCAACCTGGGCTAGTGGAAGGTGTCCCTGCCCATGGCAGGGCCTTTGGAAGCAGACGAGCTTTAAGGTCCCTCCCAGCCCAGATCATTCTGTGATTATTTTCTTGGAGGTTTATCTTTTGCCCAAGCAATAACCAGGAAGAATTCCCAAATGGCTTTACATGAAATCTGATTATTTTCTTGAACTTTTTTCTCCTTAAAGAGACTTATTGTGATGAATAAAACAGTCACGACTACACGGTTACTGATCTATTACATCATTTTCTTTCCACTCCAGAGGATGAAAGTGCAGTGAGGGGGGCTTTGACCACATCAAGTAAAGTATATTTTACTACTAGTGAAGTACTATAACTTTACTCCTGTGAGTAGTCGCTCCGAACCCCACTTGTAAAAGGTTTCAGGGGTAAATCGCGCTAAAGCTCCCCCCGACGCCGGCCGGGAGGGGTCGGTCCCGCCTCCCCGACACGCCCTGCGGGCGGGCCGAGCTGGGGAGGCGGGTCCGGCCGGTCCCGGCGCTCGGGAGCCGCGGCGGGACCGCGAGTGGAGCCGGAGCCGCCCGCGGGCAGGGAGCGCCCGCCGCGATGTCCCACTCGGTGGTCCTGCGCGGCCCTTCGCCGTGGGGGTTCCGCTTGGTCGGCGGCAAAGATTTCAGCGCCCCGCTGACCATCTCCAGGGTGAGCTCGGAGGGGCGCGGAGCGGGGAGGGCACCGGCCGCAGGTGATGGGCGGCGGGGATGCGGCGGGGATGCGGCGGGTGGTACCCGGGGTTGGCCACCGGCTATCAGCGCTGGGGCTCTTTTTGACTTCGTGTTAGTCTATATACATCCAAATACGCTCTCCTCAAAACTCAGCGCCGTTTCAGCCGCTTTTCCCGGTGTTACAGCGTTCTCCATGCTTTATTTTTTATTTTTGGTTGTTAATTCATAAAGATCCGCTTTCAAAGTTTTTAGTGTTCAGAGGGTTTGGATTCACGCCCTGGACTGAGTTCACAGGCTGTTGGGGTTTGTAAGGAAGGCATGAGTTAAGTCAGCAAGAAGTTTCTCCGCGCAGGCTGCAGTGTTCTGGGGTCCCTGCGGGCTGGTAGTAATTACTGTGTAAGTGTACTCACACTTGTGTTTAACCTCACAAAGATGTATTCTGGAAACTTCTTTGCTACGGCGCCGCAGATAGCTTGAAAAAGGCTTTGTGTGTAGATATATGTGAAAACAACCCGTCCCCCGTGCGGGAAGGAGCCCGGCGAGGTGGTGCGATGGGCTGTGTGATGGATGAGGTGCCGTGTCTGAGCTGGGCATGTTCCTGCGGGCGCTGGGGTTTCCAGCGCCGTCGGGCTGCCCCGGGAAAGGGCTGGGTGCCCCAGGCTGCTCTGCCTTCCCGGCGTGTCGGGCTGTGCCGGATTGCCGAGCTCCCCTGGGTAGCTGCTGCTGAAGTGCTGGAACAAACACTGAGTGTATTGAAAGGCTTTGAAAGGAGCTATAACTTAAAAATATTGGTGTAACGCACGCAAGCTGTTTGCCGTCGTCTCCTTCATCTGCCAAAGCTGTGACAGAGAAAACATGTACCCTGAGTTTCAAAGAAATAATTATGGAAGAGAGCATGTTTTAAAGAGATTTAGTCTGTATTTGAGTTAAAACGCGTCTGTTGCACAGCTCTGCCTCTGGTTTTGCTTTGGACTGTCCCTTTCCCAGCGCTCCAGCGAGGGCTGTTTTGGAGGAGGAACAGGAGGAGATGGATGGAGAGGGAAGGGAAGGGCAGGGCAGCGCAGGGAGCAGCAGCTGGCGGGGCTGGCTGTGCTGCAGGGGTGGGCAGGAGGCTGCTCAGAGCTGGGGGTCTGTGCCGGGCGGGGGGCACTTGGCGTTTGGGGCTCAGCCTGTGCCTCCTGGGCATGGCAAGTTCTCTTTCTCCACTGGTAACATGGGTTGTATCACAAACCACCTCTTGGCAACTGTAAAAATGTCCCTGTTGGGAAAATGAACATCTCGGCTTAGTGGAGTGAGCCTCTTTTCCTGTTACTTTGGAAAAAAAATTAGTTTAATATTAAACAAGAAGAAACAAAGTCTGCTTCTGCCTAGACAGGTGGCTTGCCAAATTCCTTGTTTGATTCAGCAAACCTGGGAGGTGTGAGGAGGTTGATTCTCATTAGGCCAATCTTGCCATGGTTCACGGAGAGCTGTAATAAAAGAAGTTGTAGGGTGTTATTCCATGTGGCAGCCTTTTAAATGGGATCCTTTTTTAATTCTGCTCCCACTGAAGAGCGAGGTGATGCTCTGATGTTGCTGAACTCCAACAGCTGCTCCTGGAGGGTGATAAACAACTTGCTGGGATGTAAATATAGGTATGAGGTATTCTGCTTAGGCTCTAGTTTCTTAACATGAGAAAAGACCTCACTTGCTTTGCAAATAGTACCTAACAATGTTAGAACTGGGGAAAAAACAGCTTCTGCTGCAGGTCCTGGCCTTGGGGATGCAGGAAGGGGCTGCTGGAGGGCTCCCCAGGGAGCCAGGGCTTTGCTTGGTGGTGGGTCTCTGCAACCCTGCTACTGTGCAGAGGACTGATCGTGGCTGGTGTGGTGCCATATTCCCTTTCATTCTGTAATTGCCCAGGAAATCTGTTCTTTCTGTTTTGAAACCCAGCAAGGGGGCTGGGGGCTCCCTGTCTGTGGGGATGGGAAAGCCCCAGCCCCCTGCTCAGGCTGGCTCACTGCAGGAGGGAGGGAGCCTCTTGCTAATTGTGGAGGCTTTTGGCTGACTTCTGCTCCCTTCAAAGTGCCTTTCTTCTTTACTTTCTATTTTATTTGTTTTATACTAAAATGCCATGAAATTACAAACATCTTTGGAAAGGCAGAAATTCTGCCAGGAGGCAGGACCACACTGTGGGAGTGCCACATCCAGCTGTGAGCCCAAGATGCTGACAAGCTCTGGGTGTGCTGGGCTGCCCGAGGGATGTGGGTTTGCACCCCACTGCTGGGCCCAAGGGGGGCTGAGGATCAGCATGTCGTGAGGTGTTTGGACTGTACAGCTTTGCAAACATCCTCCCTGGACTGGTTGTGTTGGGAAATCGGGTTGCAGTTTGGGATTTGAGGCATCCAGAGCCACCCACATTCAGCTCTGGGTGCTGGAGGCTGGCTGCCTGCTTAAAAAACACAAATCTGTCTGTGTAGGGGTTGTGGAAAAAAATGTTTTGGTCATTGTTATGTTGGTTTTCTCTACTCTTTGCTGAGCTTCTGCAGGAAACCATTTGGCTCCAGCCCTCCCCTGCTGTAGCAGTGCAGGGATGTGTCACTGGCCGAGCAGGGATGCTCTGCTGGGGGGCATGGAAGGTGCAGCTTCCTCTGCAAAGCCTGGCCACGTGTCACAGCTCCAGGTTAAGTGAAGGCAGAGTTTCTTAGTGGGGCGTTTGTGGGACCTGAAGCCGAAACGTCACTTCTAGAGGGGAAACAGTGAAGCAGTTGGTGTGAAAGGAGCTGCCAGGCTGAGCCGAGCGGGAGGCACAGCAGTGCCAGGCAGGGAGAGGCACCCGGCACAGAGCAGGAGGGACAGCTGAGAGTGGGCCACAAAAGTGGCTTGGGACAGTATTGTCAAGAGAGAAACTTGAAAAAATATGGATTTGGTAGCACAGAACATGACAATCACCGAATCCTGCTGTGGGGTGGGACTTGCCTCTCTCACAAGGGTTTGTTTTGGCCCTTACCCCTGTGAGGTGGCTGTGTCTGCGCAGGTGCAGCTGATGGGGTTCAGTCCATCCCTTGCAGCTGTTTAAAATGTGCTTGTGATATCAAGCAATGATCTCTTTCTTGAAAACAGGTCCCTTCCATCTGTGGTTTGATCAGTCATAAGTGACAAGGGGTGAAGACCTGATTGCTCCAGTGACTGGGAGCAGCTGGTGCAGAGCTCTGCCCCCGAGAAGCCGGGGCTCCAGTTGGGTTGTTGAGTTCTTCATTGTTAAAGATAAATGCAAATCCAGCAGGGTGTGCTTAGGGCACCTCTCTCATGTGGTCACATGAAAAGTTAGGTGTGCTGTGGCTCCCCTTTCATCCCCTGTTTCTTCTTGTATTTCCAGAAGGACCCAGATGAGGGGGGATGGAGTTTGCTGGGCTGGTTTTGGGGGTACACAGCCCTGCAGGGTGATGCTGGTGTGTTGTCAGTGCTGGGAAGGGAATTGTAGCCCCAGGCTATGCTGGGGGGGGAACTCAGCTTGTTTTATCCCCCCTGTTACAGTAGGCTAACACCAGGTGTAGTACACCACATAATTAATGGTTACTCCTCCTAAGGATACTTACAGAAGTAGGGAATGATCCAGGAGATCTGATTAGAGTTGGCCTTAATGACTTGATAGAAAGTGGTTTTAAGACTTAATTAAATTTCTGGCAGCCGACAGCTGCTTTCCCTTGGCTGAGCAGGTCAACAACTGGGGGCTGTGTTGGCCCTTTGTGGGAAAGGGGGTTCCCTGCAGCTCTTACTCCAGGTAAGGACAACATTCCCTTTGACCAGCAGCCGCAGCTCAGGAACAGAGTAACTCTCTCAGCTGTTCTTGGTCCTGCACTTGTAACCACATCAGTGAGTGCTGTGGTTCTGTGTGGGATCACAGCTGATCTACCCCTTGCCTGGATTAAAAGCTAATCAGTCATTAGCGTAACTGGAGGAGCTGAGTGTGTTTAATCACTTGAACTCACTTGTCCGGCTCTGGAGCAGTCGATGTCGTCACCTGCCCACCTCTGCCAGTGCTAATCCACGCACTTGCTGCTTTGGAATCGTAGCTAAATTACTTGGCTAAACAGATAACTGACAAATGGGCCAATTCCAGTATTTTTAAAATGAGATTTTAATACAGTTTTTCCTTTATCTGCTGGCCTCAACATCAGTTTACCCACTGGTCTCCGGTGGAGCAGCAAAAATGCAATTTTCAGTTTCTTGGAACTGTAACACAAGAAGGGTGAGAAATAATTGGTCTGCAATCCATTATCCAGGTATTGTTTGAGTTAAGGTTGACTTTTAAACTTAAGCAGCTTTTGCATTTGAGCAGAGACGTGTCCTGTTAAAGGTTAGGATACTCAAGAAGGAATTCTGCTGAGGAAGGAATTCCAGTAAAAGTGGTTTTGTTGACTCTGTCAGGGCAGCCAGCAAATGCCCGAGTGTTGCTGTGATCCTGTTTGAATGCAGAGAGAGCCCACTCGGGGTGATAATTTCTGGGGTGGCCTGTGAGGTTTGTTCTGGTGTGAGAGGGGATGGCAGAGCACCAAGGGCTGCCCAGACCCGGGGCTGGGGGTGCAGGTTTAGTTTCTACAGGAACTCCACATATGTTGGTGGAGAAGGCAAGGACCAGAGACACCAGCAAAGGGAACAGGGTTTTTCCCTTTGATTTCCACAAGGTTTTTCCTGGTTCCCCATGTAATTTTTATGTATTTGATAGTTCATTAAATGGAAATTATGCACTCTGTTCAGATCTCCCAGCAGGTCTGAAGTAGCCCCTCTGTGTTGATGAATCCCAAAACCAGGCCCCCAGCTGATTCCTGCTGACCTTTGGTGGGTGTGCTGCCTGTGTGGGGCTGAGTGATGAAAGCTGTCCCTCAGCTGGCTGCACAGTCATGTTTGTTCCAGCATTTTGAGCGGGATGATTTTTTTTTTTAAGTGGAAGGAAATATTTTGCTTGTGGATTTTCGTCGTTCTCCCCGTCCCTGT